CTATCCAGTTGGGTCGGCGCGCGTCAGGTGTTTAACCGTTGTGGGATCTGATAGTGAGGTGTTGGCCAGACCCCTTATATAGCTTCCTTGGATGCTTTACTTTCATAGTTCCTTGATATGTGAGTAGTCACGAAAGCACTTGGAATTTCTCTATTCTTTCAGAGTGGTTGTTTTGCATATTCTGAAATCACCTGTTTACTGTGATCTTATTGCATATATATATATATATATATATATATATATATATTATATATATATATATATATATATATATAATATATATATATATATATATATATATATATATTATGTCGGGGGTCAGTATGATGAATGAGACACTTATGGAACATATCGACTCCAAGCTGAGGGACTCCTCCTCGTCTCCACCTTCCTCTGCATTGGACTGAAGAAACCACTGGCTGGCGAAACATTTCCAGAATAAAGATAATCAAAAAGTTGCATTAGTGTCTCATTTATCAACTTGTTGATTTTTTAAACCCTTTATTGTCATGTCAGTTTACGATGCGCATCCCCATCTCTGCTTACCATATGCGCTTCCAGCGCATCACACCTGACCACCAGAATGTAAATTCACCATTTCTTGTTCTCTGTACTGCACTGATGAAACCGCTGGTGAGCGAAACGTGTCTTCAATGTCTGAATACTCGCATGTGTCTGTTTCTCATGTAAACGGCGTCTGTATTTACCAGTTTTACATTACAAATTTTCTATGGAGAGCCCCTCTGTCATGGAGCACCAAGACCACGGAATTGCAGTTTTCCCCTCTCATTGGAACAGCCCTGATTGCCTCCCATTCACAACACTGAGGCTGGAACACTTCACAACTAACCCGCAATACCTAGGCTGGAGCATAACTAACCCGCAGTACCTAGGCTGGAACATAACTAACCCGCAATACTTATTCTGGAACACAACTAACCCGCAATACCTAGGCTGGAACACAACTAACCCGCAATACCTAGGCTGGAACACAGCTAACTCTCAATACCTAGGCTGGAACATAACTAACCCGCAATACCTAGGCTGGAACACGGCTAACTCGCAATACCTAGGCTGGAACACAACTAACCCGCAATACCTAGGCTGGAACACAAATAACCCGCAATACCTAGGCTGGAACACAGCTAACTCTCAATACCTAGGCTGGAACATAACTAACCCGCAATACCTAGGCTGGAACATAGCTAACCCGCAATACCTAGGCTGGAACATAACTAACCCGCAATACCTAGGCTGGAACACAGCTAACCCGCAATACCGAGACTGGAACACAACTAACGCACAAACTACTTAAAAATGGGTCATGACATCGGTTACCGTTTTCTCCCGAAATTGTGGACCTGTTGTGCTTCCCTATTTCAGTATCACCTGCAAATATTCATTGTTTAGGATCGATCCTCATACTTGATGTACCATTTTTGTAATGCCAGTTCTCATATATGTATCTGTTAAAGTAGAATCCAACTCGATATATCGTCTGCAATGTCACGTAATGAAAATTTCTTGTAGAAATCTCCTCTGAAAACCTGTCAAAACTAATAATAATAATAATAATAATAATAATAATAATAATAATAATAATCTAATAATAATAATAATAATAATAATAATAATAATAATAATAATAATAATAATAATAATAATAATAATAGTAATAATAATAATAATTGTAATAATAATAATAATAATAATAATAATAATAATAATAATAATTGCAATAATAATATTACTACTACTACTAATAATAATAATAATAAAATTCACTAGACAATAACAACGAAAAAATCGTTGCGAAAGTTATTTGATTTTTTTTGTGTGTGTATTTGTGGGTTGCTGAATTCGAAAATGTCAGTAGGGTTTTCAATTTTTTTCCAATTTGTGAGATATTTCATAACTACCCTCAGTTAACAGAGAACTTTTCCGTAACACTTATATATGTATATGTAGCGGCAATTTGTATATCCAGACAGTTTTAATATAGATTAGAATTTTATTTCTAAATAATTTAATATTTAAGGAAAGGAGTTGTATCAACTTTTATTTTGTTATTTTTTCCAGATAAATATGAGTTCTTCCCTACGAGTCTCCTTAAACAATCCCAATGAATTTTCCTACATTTGTGGCGAAGATTCTTTTTAAACAAAGAAAAAAATCAGATTTTGTAAACAAGTTTATCTTGCTTATTTTGGAGTGGCACTTGGAGAACAAAACAAGTCTTGGGCTCCCCATATGATCTGCAAAAACCTGTGTAGAATGCTTAAGACAGTGGAAAAATAGGAAAAGGAAAATTTTAAACTTTAGTGTGTCTATGGTGTGGAGAGAGCCGACAACCCACCACGACGATTGTTATTTATGTTTGGGGAATGTGAAAGTCAAGTGGTAATATCCTGATTTGGAGTCAGTAAGGAGACGTGTGCCACACAGTGATGTTACCATACCAGTGTTTACAACACTGCCTGACCTTCCCTTGTCAGATGTTGAAGAAACTCAGGATTTAGGATGTAACACAGAGGATTGTGGTGGAAGTGAATATGAAGTTAACATTTCAGTGCCCAGTAGTTCTCCCAAGAAGAACTCGATGATCTGATACGTGACCTCAGCCTGTCAAAGCATCTGAACTTTTAGCATCCAGACTAAAAGAAAAGAACTGTCTACAACAAGAAGTTAAAATAACAGCTTATCGGACAAGAGAGGTTGAACTCCTTTCTTACTTCAGCCAAGATGAAGAACTTGTATATTGTAATAAAATCTCTGGACTTCTTCTTCGAATGGGACTTAAATATCGACCAGGAGACTGGCAATTGTTTATAGACATCTCCATTAGAAGCTTGAAATATGTCTAATTGCACAGTGGTAACCAATATGCCTATCTTCCAATTGCTCACTTAACAAAACTGTGCTGATGACCAACATAGAAGAAAATCGTTCAAAAAACGTGTTCATATGCAGTAATTAGTGCTATCTGAATTATCTTACTATGTTAATCTGTTACTGCATAAAATGAAGTACTAGTATGTATTACATGATTTGATTTTTGCATGATCTAAAAAATAATTTCAGTGATTTGTAAGTTAGTCCCGCCTGATCAATATATTTTCATTCTTTTATGTTTTTCAGTGGGATTCCAAATTTATCAAAAAGTAGAGCCAGTCAGCAAAACCGATGACATATCCTAAAATCGGTGTGATATTTTGACCAGAAAATGAGTGTTAACCAGTGAATTATTATTATTATTATTATTATTATTATTATTATTATTATTATTATTTTTACATAGAAACATTAAGCCCGTAACCTCTTTACGATCCACTGGGAAGGGCAGTCTGGTATGATCCAAGGAAGGGGAGGGCAGTTCATATTCCTCGTATTAAGAGCCCTTGTATCACGCTTCGGCTCGGCCCTCGTGAAGGAGGAATATCACCCATCAGGAAATACTTGTTCCGTTTCCTGACGAATCTTACCAAACTTAACCTCCTCCTCCGTCCCACTGCAGGTGTCTACCACTGTTTGTAAATATTTTTTTACGCAGTGGGGCGTCATTACCAACTCTGGGGCTTTATTCCCCTCAGTGGGGGCTTTATTAACCACAGGTTTTATCATCCACAGTGAGGTTTTATCTCACCGACACTGGGGGTTTATCAAGTGCTTTGGGTCAAACGTCTTCAAATATAGTTCTTTCCTGCCTAAAATTTTTAAATTACTTTTATTTTCCTCAGTTTGAAATCATGGTCTCGTGTCTCCCTGATAATGACAGACAACAATCTTCACTATCTTTAGTATCGTATCCTTTTATTAGTTTTCATGTTATCATATCTGCTCTCTTATTATCTATCTAGCACTCTTCATTGAGAGGCGCCTTGATTCCGGTAAAGGTATATTGATCTAGAGAATAAGAGCATCCCTTCCCTTTTCTTCCTTCCCTGCCCTCCCCTGCCTTCCTCTTAGCTCACAACTTGATTATCTATCATTGCCCAGACGCGGTGTCACTCTCACTTCTCTATGACAATAAAAATCTATCTACCTGAGGGGGTATTTTAAATGTCTTATATGTTATGTAAGTTGATATATATATGTGCACGCTTGGTGTGTTTAAAATAAGTATAAATAATGTTTATATGTGGACTGAGGAATGTCCACATGTATACAGGAAAACAATGTAAAATTAAACTGTTTATGTCCGTTGTCGTCTGGGCTATTTATTAGCAGTGAAGATTTTTTTTTGTCATATGGGTTTTCTTCAGTCATTTTAGAAGTGCCCACCAAAATGTTTTATTAGGATGAAGAATATGTATGTATTAGGTACCACATCATAGTCACCACCTGATATACACACTGTGTTTATTTCCACAAGACGTAATTTTGTATGTCATATATCATCCCAGGCAAGCGGAATTCTGCTTCTTGTATAATTCCTCGTACTTAAATAACTGCTACACGGGGGGATTCAAACCCCCCGTGTGACTATAAGGCCAGTGTGCTGATCCTTCTTGTATTTACTGACAGAACTCCCCAAGATACTATTGGGTTGCCACAGGTGATAAAACTGATCTGATAACCCACATTCCTCGCCCATATTCTGTGCATCTATTTTAGAAGTTTTTCTCGGGATTTGTCGTCACTGATAAAGCTTAGTTATAAGCCAAAAGTAGTCTAAAATAAAAGTTTTTTTTCTATTATTACTTGGTTTTTATACTAACTTGTCGGCTTGTTGCCTCAGTCACCAAGTAGGTCGGTGGTGATTAGATCAGTAGTACTCTAAGTGACCTGAAAACAATGTTTTCTCCAGTGATTCTTCCTGTAGCTTCGTAAGATGTTCAGCGATAACGTTCTGAACTCTGCAAGTATTATAGCTCTTGACTAAAAGAGACCACTACGTTGTAGGCAACGTATATGATCATGACTCTTAGTAATGTAACCAGTCAACACGATTACATATTTGGACATATGGCATGTATGCTTGTTATCTATGATAATGTAAGTCAGCTGAGGCTTCAAGATGTTAGTATCAACCGTGTTTGTGCGTGAATAAGGTCTTGAAGAGTGTGGGCTGAGGTGGTACTTCAACTTCAACTCTCCATTTGTTCCTTTCTTGAAGACTCTAGTTGTCGAGGTTCCGGCTACTGAGTTCTGTAGTGTTGGCGCCTGTTGGAAGCTGCTCTGGCATAGTGAAGAATTTGTATACAATAGTCTGCTGAGGCGTTGCTTCTGCTGCACCTTCGAGTCATGAAGATATTCACACTTCTCTTACTGATAGGTGAGTCTCCCACATATTGTTAATATTATGTAAAATACGGTCAATAAAGAAAACTGACAAATAAAGCTAGGCAAAAAAATAGATAGTTTAGATAAATTAAAGAAGTTTACGTTACATTAATCTTGTGGTAATTGCTTGGTAAGTTTTGAGGCAAAATTAAAAATCGGCATAACTCTGGTTAACTGTTTTCCTTGGAGGGCAAATCTTCAGGCGAGTCAAAATAAATTCATTGATCACTTTTTGGCAGCTGTCTCTTCCGTATTGAATTATCATTATATCACATCTATGTTAACTTGTTGATGTTGTTATAACAGACACCAGAAATTAAGTATATTATTATCACAAAAAAGTTTGTCTAAATATCACTTATTTTTAGCAGTGAAAAAAAAATAATAATAGGCAATATTATGGTTATACATTATTTAGCATTGGTATAAAGACACATAATATTCATTGTTACTCAGTACACTGTGTTCCTGACATCCATTTCTACAGTTCGTACGTTGTTTGAACAACATAACAAAGACACACTGCTACAAGCAATGTAATAATTAAAACTCATCAGAACTTTTGGTATTTTTTATTGGATTTTATGGGTTTGGGATATAACTAATTGTGTGTAAAAGCAATAATAGAATTTTAAGTCTGTTTTCCTCATCATTATAACTTAAAATCGTTTTCTGAGTTATGTTATAACTATGTTACGATTTCATCATACTGGGATAGTGTTCCAAACACAGTTCATTTCTTTTCGAATAAGGCGATGGAGAATTAATATGGAGTTGCAGCCTCAAAACCCATTTGATTTCATTCATGACTACTGATCTTTTTTTTTTTTGTGGTGTGTTGATTTAAATGAAAGGTATTCCACGTTCAATAAACCACGGTACGGGTGGGGATTGAACTCGCGGCAAGTGAGTCGTAAAATTCCATGCCAATGAGTAAGCCACTTGCCGCGAGTTCAGTCCCCACCCGTATGTGATTTGTTTGCAGTCGTGTCATTACGATATCCCACGTTGTCTGCCAGAGAAGAGCTGGTCTCTACAGGGTTACTGCGTGGGTTGCTTAAAACAATATTGCTTTAACTATCTTGCTTTGGGATTTTAAGTATCTTCTTACATTTATTGTTTGTGTGGATTAAGTATATAAACATAATGTTTAAAAGTGCATGTGCTCTTTGATCTAAGTTCCATCCACTTTGTTATCTCTTATCACTCAAGTTATCACATCTGCTGAGCTCAGCAGCATCAAATGATGGAGTGCTCTTAGCTGTGTCCTCCTGATCTAGAATGTTATCGCAGTCCTCTAGGAATGTTGTCCCAGTTTCCTGAGACACATTGTAATTTTTTCGAGCTGCTCTTGTTAAGCCAGTAATAACTCTGCCAGATAACGGAAGACGATTTGTCCCTTTCAACTATGAGATTTATTGTTATCTCTGTCTTATCTAAGAATGTTGTCGGACTATATCTGTCAACTAATTTGTCTGAAAATCGACCGTATCAATAATTTACTCAAAGTCACCGGAAATACGGTTGATTGTCATAACATTAATATAGCATTAAATTATACTAATGTAACTAATAACTTCTGTTAAAATATTCGTGCTGAAGCACTGTAAAATAATCACTGTAAAACAGTCATTGTCAACACGTTCATTCAAGATATTAATCGCATCTCAGTTTTGTGGGGCTTTCATTATGTTATATCAAACAAGAACACATTAATTAAGCAAAACACTTTCACTGTGGCCATCTGAGAACGAAGGTGAGCTGATCTTCAAGGCAGGAATCTGTATACTATTCTCGTCTTATCGCTGCTGATCGATAGGCGCCCACAAGGTGTGTGTATATATTAAAAATATAATATATATATATATATATATATATATATATATATATATATATATATATATATAATATATATATATATATATATATTTATTATCACAATGGCCGATTCCCACCAAGGCAGGGTGGCCCGAAAAAGAAAAACTTTCACCATCATTCACTCCATCACTGTCTTGCCAGAAGGGTGCTTTACACTACAGTTTTTAAACTGCAACATTAACACCCCTCCTTCAGAGTGCAGGCACTGTACTTCCCATCTCCAGGACTCAAGTCCGGCCTGCCGGTTTCCCTGAACCCCTTCATAAATGTTACTTTGCTTACACTCCAACAGCACGTCAAGTATTAAAACCCATTTGTCTCCATTCACTCCTATCAAACACGCTCACGCATGCCTGCTGGAAGTCCAAGCCCCTCGCACACAAAACCTCCTTTACTCCCTCCCTCCAACCTTTCCTAGGCCGACCCCTACCCCGCCTTCCTTCCACTACAGACTGATAGACTCTTGAAGTCATTCTGTTTCGCTCCATTCTCTCTACATGTCCGAACCACCTCAACAACCCTTATTCAGCCCTCTGGACAACAGTTTTGGTAATCCCGCACCTCCTCCTAACTTTCAAACTACGAATTCTCTGCATTACATTCACACCACATATTGCCCTCAGACATGACATCTCCACTGCCTCCAGCCTTCTCCTCGCTGCAACATTCTTCACTCATGCTTCACACCCATATAAGAGCGTTGGTAAAACTATACCAACTAATCTTTTTGTTATCCTCATAACCTTACTCTTTTCTGTATTCACTTTTAATTTTCTTCTTTTACATACCCTACCAAATTCATCCACCAATCTCTGCAACTTCTCTTCAGAATCTCCCAAGAGCACAGTGTCACCAGCAAAGAGCAACTGTGACAACTCCCACTTGATGTGTGATTCTTTAGCTTTTAACTCCACGCCTCTTGTCAAGACCCTCGCATTTGCTTCTCTTACAACCCCATCTATAAATATATTAAACAACCACGGTGACATCGCACATCCTTGTCTAAGGCCTACTTTTACTGGGAAATAATCTCCCTCTTTCCTACATACTCTAACTTGAGCCTCACTATCCTCGTAAAAACTCTTCTCTGCTTTCAGTAACCTACCTCCTACACCATACACCTGCAACATCTGCCACATTGCCCCCCTATCCACCCTGTCATACGCCTTTTCCAAATCCATAAATGCCACAAAAACCTCTTTAGCCTTATCTAAATACTGTTCAATTATATGTTTCACTGTAAACACCTGGTCCACACACCCCTTTCCTTTCCTTAAGCCTCCTTGCTTATCTGCTATCCTATTCTCTGTCTTACTCTTAATTCTTTCAATAATAACTCTACCATACACTTTACCAGATATACTCAACAGACTTATCCCCCTATAATTTTTGCACTCTCTTTTGTCCCCTTTGCCTTTATACAAAGGAACTATGCATGCTCTCTGCCAATCCCCAGGTACCTTACCCTCTTCCATACATTTATTAAATAATTGCACCAACCACTCCAAAACTATATCCCCACCTGCTTTTAACATTTCTGTCTTTATCCCATCAATCCCGGCTGCTTTACCCTCTTTCATTTTACCTACTGCCTCACGAACTTCCCCCACACTCACAACTGGCTCTTCCTCACTCCTACAAGATGTTATTCCTCCTTGCCCTATACACGAAATCACAGCTTCCCTATCTTCATCAACATTTAACAATTCCTCAAAATATTCCTTCCATCTTCCCATTACCTCTAACTCTCCATTTAATAACTCTCCTCTCCTATTTTTAACTGACAAATCCATTTGTTCTCTAGGCTTCCTTAACTTGTTAATCTCACTCCCAAAACTTTTTCTTATTTTCAACAAAATTTGTTGATAACATCTCACCCACTCTCTCATTTGCTCTTTTTACATTGCTTCACCACTCTCTTAATCTCTCTCTTTTTCTCCATATACTCTTCCCTCCTTGCATCATATGCTAACTTCTCATATGCTAACTTTTTCTCCCTTACTACTCTCTTTACATCATCATTCCACCAATCGCTCCTCTTCCCTCCCGCACCCACTTTCTTGTAACCACAAACTTCTGCTGAACACTCTAACACTACATTTTTAAACCTACTCCATACCTTTTCGACCCCATTGCCTATGCTCTCATTAGCCCATCTATCCTCCAATAGCTGTTTATATCTTACCCTAACTGCCTCCTCTTTTAGTTTATAAACTTTCACCTCTCTCTTCCCTGATGCTTCTATTCTCCTTGTATCCCATCTACCTTTTACTCTCAGTGTAGCTACAACAAAAAGTGATCTGATATATCTGTGGCCCCTCTATAAACTTGTTCATTCTGAAGTCTACTCAACAGTCTTTTATCTACCAATACATAATCCAACAAACTACTGTCATTTCGCCCTACTTCATATCTTGTATACTTATTTATCTTCTTTTTCTTAAAATATGTATTACCTATAACTAAACCCCTTTCTATACAAAGTTTAATCAAAGGGCTCCCATTATCATTTACATTTGGCACCCCAAACTTACCTACCACACCCTCTCTAAAAGTTTCTCCTACCTGAGCATTCAGGTCCCCTACCACAATTACTCTCTCACATGGTTCAAAGGTTCCTATACATTTACTTAACATCTCCCAAAATCTCTCTCTCTCCTCTACATTCCTCTCTTCTCCAGGTGCATGCACGCTTATTATGACCCACTTTTCGCATCCAACCTTTACTTTAATCCATATAATCCTTGAATTTACACATTCATACTCTCTTTTCTCCTTCCATAACTGATCCTTCAACATTACTGCTACCCCCTAGGCTCTAACTCTCTCAGATACTCCAGATTTAATCCCATTTTTTCCCCCCACCGAAACTCCCCTACCCCCTTCAGCTTTGTTTCGCTTAGGGCCAGGACATCCAAGTTCTTTTCATTCATAACATCAGCAATCATCTGTTTCTTGTCATCCGCACTACATCCACGCATATTCAAGCATCCCAGTTTTATAAAGTTTTCTTCTTCTGTTTTATATATATATATATATATATATATATAATATATAATATATATATATATATAAAATATATATATTTATTATTATTTTATATATGTGTGTGTGTGTGTGTGTGTGTGTGTGTGTGTGTGTGTGTGTGTGTGTGTGTGTGTGTGTGTGTGTGTGTGTATGTGTGTGTGTGCATATGTGTAATGAATCTGCGAAAATCATTCTGAACATTAAATTAGGTTTGGTCAAAAAATAAAAATGTTTACATCACTGTTAGAGGAAAATATGTCAATCAATCCGTATTTTTTTGGGGTGGGGAGAGGCGGGGAGAAGTCAATTTTTTAAGGGAGTTCTCCCTGTTTAACAAGTTCGTCTCGTTACTCCCATTCCCCAAGAGTTGTATAACTCTCAAGGGTTTAGATCTTCGCCGTAGATATCATAATACAGGGAAAGAATATTCCCATTTCTCTTCCATGTTATATTGCTGTACATAGTTTTAATGTTTGTATTAATGAAAATGATAATGGCGTAGCTCCTGGGTGAGTGATCTCATCTGTTATTTCTTCTTTTCTTGCAGGGATGCTGCTCCCGTCTGCCATAGGTTTTTGGTGGCTGGATCTAGAGCCTAGAAAACAGTTGTCAGTCGACAACCACACCCTGGACAGTGGCAGTGATCACCAGAGTGGGGGTGATCAGCACAGCGATCAGCAGAACAGTAAAGCCAGTAGTCGTGACCCCCACTACAGCCATCTCAGCACGGTGGTGATCACATGAAGGGTGATGACCGTCACAGCCATCATCACGGCAGTCATCACATGAAGGGTGACGACCGTCACAGTCATCACCCACGGCAGTCATCACATGAAGGGTGACGACCGTCACAGTCATCAAAGAAGGGTGACGACCATCACAGCCGTCATAACGCCAGTCATCACATTAAGGGTGATGACCATCACAGTCATCATCATCACGGCAGTCATCGCATGAACGGTGACGACCGTCACAGCCATCATCACATGAACGGTTATGACCGTCACAGCCATCATCACATGAATGGTGACGACCGTCACAGCCATCATCACATGAACGGTGACGACCGTCACAGCCATCATCACATTAACGGTGACGACCGTCACAGCCATCATCACATGAACGGTTATGACCGTCACAGCCATCATCACAAGAATGGTGACGACCGTCACAGCCACCACAAGAGCGGTGATCGTGTCCCAAGCTCCGACAAACATCACAGTCACCACCACGGCAGCGATCGCAATTGCAGTGACCACCAACACAGTCAGCAACACGATGGTGCTGCAGCTTCAGGAGCTGCTGAACCTCACACACCAGCAGCTGTTGACCCTCTCACAGCAGCTGCTGAGCCTCACATACCAGCCCTTGAGCTAGTGCACAACACCTCCGATACTCTCCCCTGCCCTATGTTATACACCCGCGTTGGTCAGCGCTGCCTCGCCTTCTTCACCGTTGCCCGGGTGAGTCCTCAAGTTCTTAACTAAATAAAATATCATGTCACATCATCCGGCGTTACAAGCCATGAATCCAAACCAAATTATTTCTACACTAGTTCACAGTCTTCCTAGATCACGACTTGATCTAAGATCAAGTGCCATACAGTGCCAGCCCTATTGAAATTAACTTTGTTTATGTAATGCAACTGTATAATAAATAATAATAATAATAATTAATAATAATAATAATAATAATAATAATAATAATAATAATAATAATATTAATTATTATTATTATTATTATTATTATTATTATTATTATTATTATTATTATTATTATTATTATTATTATTATTATTATTATTGTAACCTACTCATTTAGGGAACATATCAGTGACCCAATCGTGATTGTGTGATGCACTGCAATGTACTGTAAAGCGCTGCATTGTACTGCAATGCTTTGCATCGTACTGTAATTTTTTTTGCAGTGTACTGTAACGTATTAATAGTAATGCGTACTATTAAGCATAGTACACCATCCACATATCTGTACTACTTAGCCGAGAAGGTTATATTAAGCAGATCCATGATGGAGCAAAATATAATGGAATCTAGATTCATGAAGAATAGCATTGATTGCAAAATGAATATAAGTTAAGAGTTGTATAAATTAGATTAATTTATAATGAATAGAATTTCTGAGGTTTTTATACTATGCCTGACATGACTCACTTAAATTTTTACTTGACATTTGACTCTGATTTTATCTTCACTGCACTCCCACGCTTAGTGAGTAGGGTCATATGTGAGGTCATATGTGAGATCATATGTGAGGTCATATGTGAGGTCATATGTGAGATCATATGTGAGGTCATATGTGAGGTCATATGTGAGGTCATATCTCAGCTATACAAGTCTTGTGTTGTTCCATTATTTTTACAATTCCTTGAAAATGTGAGAAATCAAGAAATGGATTGGATTTTCACTATTTTTTAATGTTAATTATTTTGCATATATGTGCAATAAGACCACAGACAGCAGGTAATATCACAATATGCAGCACAACCACTGTGAAAATTTATTGAAATTCCAAGTGCTTTTTGTGATTTCTCACATTGTTAACAGTTCCTTGATAATGTGAGAAATCACAAAAGTGCTTGGAATTTCACTATTTTGTCACAGTGGTTGTTCTGTAACTAATGATATATATATATATATATATAATATATAAAATCAAAATATATATATATATATATATATATATATAATATATATATATATATATATAAAATATAATATATGCAAAAAAACCACTCTGAAAGAATAGAGAAATTCCAAGCGCTTTCGTGACTACTCACATTATCAAGGAACCATGAAAGTAAAGCATCCAAGGAGCTATATAAGGGGTCTGGCCGGCACCTCACTATCAAATCCCACAACGGTTTAAACACCTGATGCGCGCCGACCCAACTTGGATAGGTCCTTGGCACAACTCGCCCCACAAACTATTCTACCCAAGAAATAAGAAATTTTAAAGATTATTTGTCCAGTGTATTATTAAATTCTTCCAAATTCTATTAATTATAAATGGATCTAATTTATATAAACCAAAGGAAAATTCATATTATTGTCAAAACTGCTTTTTATGAAACAAGATTCAATTATATTCCTGTCGACCATGGACTTGCTTGATACTACTTTCTCAACTTTTTGAAAATCAATTGGATGGTTAAAATCTCTTACATGAATAAATAGAGCATTGGAATCTTGTCCAGTTCTAATGCTATATTTATGTTGTTTTAATCTTAGTTCGAGATTTTTACCAGTTTGACCGTAATAACTTTATCGCAAATTTTTACAAGGAATCTTATAGACACATCCATCAGCATTTTGGGGGGAATTCTTTATCAAAAGTTTTTTTTTCTGTATCAAGATTTTTGAATACAACTTTAATATTAAAAGTCTTAAGAAGAGAAGGCATATCAACCAAGTTTTCATGGTAAGGGAGAACCAACATATTTTTAGTTGAATAAGGCTGGTTGTCCCTTTTTGGATTGTAAAAAGTATTTCTAGCAACTTTAAAAGATTTATCAATTACATTTCTTGGTATTTTAAATCATTACCTATTTCATAAATTTTGGATATTTCCTCATCTATGAACTCAGGACTACAAATTCGTAAAGCTCTCAGAAACATTGATGGGGAAAACAGACAGTTTGACTCTATCTTGATGCGAGGAATAATAGTGGACATAGGAACATTTATTAGTAGGTTTTCTGTAAATTTTAAATTTGAATTCATTTTTTACCCTTAATAATTAAAACATCTGAAAAAGGCAATGAGTTATTTTCTTCAAACCAACAGTAAATTTTATTGAATGGGCTAAGCTATTTAATTTTCCAAGGAATGGTGTTATATCTACATTTTTGGGCAAAGACAAAAAATATCATCAACATATCTGAACCATTTAGCTCTTTTAAAGGGAGGATTGTGTTAAGTAACCTTGTTTCAAAAAATTCCATGTATAGGTTACTAAGAACAGGTGAAAGAGGATTTCCCATTGCCATACCAAACTTCTGAGTGTAAAATTTATCATTAAATACAAATTTTGCATCAACAATGCAAAGTTTAATAAGTTTAATGATAGTAGGAACTGGCAATGGTAAATCATAGTTAACGAGTTCTTCAGATAAGAAACTTAATAAATCATCAACAGGAACTTTCGTAAACAAGGAAGTAACATCAAAACTAAAACCTACTAATAACTGTTCCTATGTCCACTATTATTCCTCGCATCAAGATAGAGTCAAACTGTCTGTTTTCTCATCAATGTTTCTGAGAGCTTTACGAATTTGTAGTCCTGAGTTCATAGATGAGGAAATATCCAAAATTTATGAAATAGGTAATGATTTAAAATACCCAAGAAATGTAATTGATAAATCTTTTAAAGTTGCTAGAAATACTTTTTACAATCCAAAAAGGGACAACCAGCCTTATTCAACTATAAATATGTTGGTTCTCCCTTACCATGAAAATTTGGTTGATATGCCTTCTCTTCTTAAGACTTTTAATATTAAAGTTGTATTCAAAAATCTTGATACAGTAAAAAAACTTTGAAAAAAGGAATTCCCCCAAAATGCTGAGGGATGTGTCTATAAGATTCCTGTAAAATTTGCGATTAAATTTATTCGGTCAAACTGGTAAAAATCTCGAACTAAGATTAAAACAACATAAATATAGCATTAGAACTGGACAAGATTCCAAGCTCTATTTATTCATGTAAGAGTTTTTATAACCTTTCCAATTGATTTTCAAAAAGTTGAGAAAGTGTATCAAGCAAGTCCATGGTCGACAGGAATATAATTGAATCTTGTTTCATAAAAAGCAGTTTTGACAATAATATGAATATTTCCTTTGGTTTATATAAATTAGATCCATTTATAATTAATAGAATTTGGGAAGAATTTAATAAAAACACTGGACAAATAATCTTTAAATTTTCTTATTTCTTGGTAGAATAGTTTTTTGGGGGCGAGTTGTGCCAAGGACCCTATCCAGTTGGGTCGGCGCGCGTCGGGTGTTAAACCGTTGTGGGATCTGATAGTGAGGTGCCGGCCAGACCCCTTAAAATAGCTTCCTTGGATGCTTTACTTTCATAGTTCCTTGATAATGTGAGAGTCACGAAAGCGCTTGGAATTTCTCTATTCTTTCAGAGTGGTTGTTTTGCATATTCTGAAATCACCTGTTTACTGTGATCTTATTGCATATATATATATATATATATATATATATATATATATATATATATATATATATATATATATATATATAATATATATATATATATATATATATATATAAAATTATTATATATATATATATATATATTATATATGTATGTCTGATTATGTGTGAGTGAGGTTGAAAGTGTTGAATGATGATGAAAGTATTTTCTTTTTGGGGATTTTCTTTCTTTTTTGGGTCACCCTACCTCGGTGGGAGACGGCCAATTTGCTATATGTATATATATACAGTGGTCCCCCGCTTTTCGTAGTTCCCGGCAATCGTAAAATTCGCCAATCATAGAGGTATTTTCGTAAAAAACTGGATCGTTTTTCATAGGTTGACTCGCGAGTCGTAGTTCGTCCGGGACGCGTACCCACGGCGTGAGTCAGGGCGGCAGCCAGTCTGGCATTGTTTACCAGTGAGCGAAGGTCCCCTCACGTGCTCCAGCAAAATATTTCATAATATTCCATTTATTTTAGTGCTTGCAAGTACTAAATAAGCTACCATGGCTCCAAAGAAAGCCCTTGTGCCAAGCCGTGGTAAAGAAGGTGAGAAATACGTTTGAATTTAAGAAAACCATCATTGAACAATATGAAAGTGGTACAAGTGTGGCCGAACTGTCCAGGATGTATAAGAAACCCTACACAAACCTCATGTTCTATAGGGGCCCAAGAAAATGAAATAAAGGATGCTGTTGTTTGCAAAGGGGAGTACCTATGCTGACAAAAATGAGATCACCAGTACTGGAAGAGGTTGAGAAGTTATTATTGGTGTGGATAAATGAGAAACAATTAGCAGGAGATACTTAATGATTTTCTTTTATTTGTGAAAAGGCTAGGCAGTTGCATGAAGATTTCGTAAAGAAATTGCCTGCAAAATAGTGTAAAGTGAGTAAATTTTAAAAGGCCAGCAAAGGCTGGTTTGAGAGATTTAAGAACCGTACTGGCATACACAGTGGGGTTTTAAGGCATGGTGAGGCTCCCCAGTTCGGACCACAAGGCGGCTGAAAAATATGTGCATGAATTCCAGGGAGTACATAGAGGCTAAGGACTGAAACCTGAACAAGTGTTAATTGTGACGAAACAGGCCCTTTTGGAAGAAAATGCCAAAAAGGCCTTCATTACACAAGGGGAAAAGGCCAATGCCGGGACACAAGCCTATGAAAGACAGCTGACGCTAATGTTCTGTGCTAATGCTAGTGGGGATTTCAAAGTGAAGCCATTACTAGTGTTCCATTCTGAAAAAACCAGAGTGTTCAGGAAGAACAATGTTATGAAGAGTAAATTGTGTGTGTTTTGGAAATCTCATAGTAAGGCATGGGTCCCCGAGGGAAATTTTCGTCGAGTGGTTCAATGAAGTGTTTGGCCCTAGTGTGAAGGAGTATCTCCTGGAAAAGAAATTGGATCTCAAGCGCCTGCTAGTAATGGACAATGCACCTGCCCCATCCTCCAAACTTGGATGACCTAATTTTCGAGGAGTTTGGGTTCATCACAGTAAAGTTCTTGCCCCCGAATCCACTCCTCTCTTCCAACCCATGGACCAGCAGGTTATTGCAAACTTTAAAAAACTCTACACAAAAGCAATGTTTCACAGGGGGCTTGACTGTGGGCCACAGACACTCACTTGACCCCCAAGGGAATTTTGGAGAGAAAAACTTCAGCATCCTCCACTGCATAACCCTTATAGTATGGCTTGGGAGGGAGTGTCTACCAGGACTTTGAACTCTGCCTGGAGAAAATTGTGGCCAGATTGTGTCGACAAGAGGGGGTTTTAAGAATTTGGGACTGCCCTAATGAGCCTATGTCTGTTGTAAAATCAATTGTGGAACTGGGGAGTTCCATGGGGTTGGATGTGAGTTTTTGGGGGATGTGGAAGAATTGGTGGAAGACCACAATGAAGAGCTCACCACTGAGGAGCTACAAGAGCTTCAGCAGGAAGAGCAACACATCGCAGCTCAGAATCTTGCTGCAGAGGAGGAGGAAGAGAGATGGAAGAAGGTGCCTTCTTCAGAAATTAAAGAGATTTTTACTATGTTGGGGTAAGATGGAAAGCTTTATGGAGAAACATTTACCCTAACAAGGTTGTTGCAAGCCAGGTGGCAACATGTACAGTGACAAAGTCTTGGGCCATTTTAGGGAAGCGTTAAAGGGGACGCCAGAAAAAAAGAGCTCTCTCCACAGTTTTTTTGTGAGACAGGACTCCAGTGACTCTCAAGGTGGTCCTAGTGGCATTAAAGAAACAGAGAAGAGAAGCAACCCCAGAAAAGCAAATGGTACCTGAGGTGTTGATGGAAGGGGATTCCCCTTCCAAACTATAAACAATCCCCTCTCTCTCCTCCTCCAGTCACCCATACACTAAGAAAAAATCTCCAATAAAGGTAAGTGTTATGCTGTTAATGTTTCATTCATCATTTCCCATTGTATTGTTTTTTGTACTACATGCATATTTCATGTTAAAATTTTTTTGTTTTAATACTTCTGGGTGTCGGAACGGATTAATTGTATTTACATTATTTCTTATGGGGAAAATTGATTCGTAAATCGTAAATTTCGTTTATAGAAACGGCTCCAGGAACGGATTAATTACGAACAACGAGGGACCACTGTATATAATATATTTTATATATATATATAATATATATATATATATATATATAGATAGATAGATAGATAGATAGATAGATAGATAGATAGATGGATAGACAGATAGATAAGTAGATATATAGATATATTTTTTCATTTATGTTAACGTAAACATTAATAATTTTGTACCAAAAGAACCTCAGAAAACTTACCTAACCTTATTATAACAAACGCAATTTAATTGAGCCTAATCCAAATAAATATGTTTTAGATAAGTTTACAGTAGTTTAATAATAAACAAACACAATGAAATATATTCTTTTTCCGTTAGGTTTAGAATGATTTTTGCGAAATTATTACACACACACAAATTTTCGCATGCCTAATTCGGCAAGAAGAGCTTTGCTAAATTTAAGACAAAATCGCAAGTTTTACCGATTCGGCACGACATATTATATATATATATGTATATATATATAATTTTATATATATATTATATATTTTATATATATATATATATATATATCATATATATATATATATATAAAAATATATATATTTAAATAATATATAATTTATATATACATATTTTTTTTTTTCTTTCGCATACGTGGTTGGCCGTGCAGGTTCCCTGGTCAACCGCGAGGGAATTCTGTAACAGTATTTTCGGCGACCTTGTCACCTTCACCGATATACACCAGTATATTGAAATTCTGGAATACCTGCAGACCTCTGGTAAGCAGACCTTTGGTAAGCAGATTTCTGGTAAATAGACCCCCTGGTAAGCAGATCTATGGTAAGCAGACCTCTGGTAAGCACACTTCCAGTAAGCAGAACTATGATAAGAAGTCTTATGATAAGAAAACTTATGATATGCAAACTTATGATAAGCAGACTTATGATAATCAGACTTATGATAAGCAGACTTATGACAAGCAGATTTATGATAACCACACTTATGATAAGCAGGCAAATACCCCTCTTGCAAACATACTACCAGTAAACAGACCTACAGTAAGCAGACCTCTGGTTAGCAGACTTCTGTTAAACAGATTTTTGATAAGCCAAGTCAGTGCGATCCTGAACTTGCACCTGCAGCTCGGAAAGTCACAGTCACAGCACTAATGGTCACCATCACGATGCCGTGAGACTCCTCATTTTATTTGCTGTATTAACCCATCAAAATCTTAGTTCAATCCCAGGAGACATGATGTTGCTTCATTTCCTGCCCCAGCCGAGTATGTTTGCTCTTCGACGCTAGATAAGATTATCAGAATTATTAGATATGATAATATCCTCAGAACTTTTAATAAAAAGTGTAAGAGTATTGTAGTTTTTTACGAATTTAAGTTGACGACGTCGTTGTTATGGTATTTTGTCCAATCTACAGCACTCTATATGAATAGTTATCAGGCTATTTTTACCTTAAACATATAAACTCAAAAATTTCAAAATCTTCTAAAAAAAAAAATCGATATATATATATATATATATATATATATATATAATAATTATATATATATATATATATATATATATATATATATATATAATATATATATATATATATATATATATATATATATATATATATATATATATATATATATATATAATGATTCAGATTAAAAAAAAATTGCTAAAATTTGTCAAGCAAGTTATCATCTACAAAAGAATTTATCAGGATGTTTTTACGTTAAACATATAAACTCAACAAAAATTAAAAGAAAAAAAAAACTATATGGATATAATGATTCCGGAGTTTAAAAAAAAATTACTAAAATTTTTTTAACCAATTTTTCATTTTATATTTTATCTTTAGCTTCAATAAAAACTTACCCCAAGGTTCTCCCTTGATTTAATTACTGATATACGCATTATTCTTTCACATGTTCTTAAGAAAACTAGCTGAGTACTTGCTAGAAGTAGTCAAGTATTAGGTAAAATTTATCAGTGTATCTAATGATGGTAATTTAAAAGTATATACGTGAACCTAATGATGGTGATTTAAAAGTATATACGTGAACCTAATGATGGTGATTTAAAAGTATATACGTGAACCTAATGATGGTGATTTAAAAGTATATACGTGAACCTAATGATGGTGATTTAAAAGTATATACGTGAACCTAATAATGGTGATTTAAAAGTATATACGTGAACCTAATGATGGTGATTTAAAAGTATATACGTGAACCTAATAATGGTGATTTAAAAGTATATACGTGAACCTAATGATGGTGATTTAAAAGTATATACGTGAACCTAATGATGGTGGTTTAAAAACGTATCCATATTCCTAGAATTACTATAAATATATTTTCTTTCGATTTGATAAAGAGTTTCATGAATGTTTTCCACCTGTTTGACTGAGAGCTCACTTAAGTACTTGGTTGTCTCCTAGGAGTGGACGTGGACCTGTGGGTGGGAGGACGTGATGGAAAGAATGGGTGGGAGTGGATGGACGGGACTCCCATGCCCCGGGGAACTCCATACTGGGCCATCAGGTGAGTACAGTTCAGGCAAGCATAGTTATCTGAAGTCTCATTATTGCCCTCTGGTGGCTATGTGACGTCTATGAGATAATGCTGAAACATATTCTCTATCTCTCTCTTTCTGTCTGTCTGTCTGTCTGTCTGTCTGTCTGTCTGTCTGTCTGTCTCTCAGTCTGTCTGTCTGTCTGTCTCTCAGTCTGTCTGTCTGTCTGTCTGTCTCTCTGTCTCTCTCTCTCTGTCTCTCTCTCTCTCTCTCTCTCTCTCTCTCTCTCCTCTCTCTCTCTCTCTCTCTCTCTCTCTCTCTCTCTCCTCTCTCTCTCTCTCTCTCTCTCTCTCTTCTCTCTCTCTCTCTCTCTCTCACACCACCTTCCCGTTCACAGGTCAGCTGAGGGAACTCACAGTCACATCCACCCCTCCACGTCCTACTTACAAGCTCCGTACAGCTTCCCAGCTTGGAAATACGATCAGACTGGCAGGTAGGACAAGAGCACCATGTACTGGGCAACCTGATAGATGATGTATAATATTACGAACTTTACTCGCTATCTATCCAGAACATAACATGAATGGTTTACAGTAGAAGATAATATGATACAACCGTGGTTTAAAAAAAAATCAAAACTGAATACGTCAAAATGTCTAGTGAGATCAGGATGACAGTAATAAAATTAGCATGAATATGTTGTATCCAGATTACTTTGTTGCAAGATTAGGATGACACTAGGATGAGGGTTCCAGAATTTTTTGTGAGGGGACTAGAGTTATGGATGATAGGATCACAATGTTTACGTAGATAAGAATAGCTCGTTAGGGGATTAGAATAGGGAATAATGCATCCCCTTTCTCCTCCATGTCACAGCTGCGCCGCTATGATGCCCAAATATTTCTACTACTTGTCGGATGTAGCATGCCGCGATTTGAAGAGTCCAGTGTGTGCGCTCCGAGAGGGGGCGCAGGTGGTGATAGCGAGGGGCAGCGAAGATACATACCCGGGCATCTTCATTCCTACCCAAGATGACCACACTATCGTCTGGGAGAAAGCACCGCCCACTAAGACCGCCCACACCACAACAGACATGGAGGGAGCACCACCCAACACGACCGCCCACACTAACACCGCCACCACTCAACAAGTTACCTCTACCCCTCCAGCTTCAACTTCGAGTCCCATCTCGAAATCTGAAGATGACTCTGACGGGTCAGGCATTCAGCCCTTCCCCAGCAAGCACCGCACGTTTGACGACTCCAGCGAAGAGGAGGAAGACGATGAGGAAGAGGAGGAGGAGGGGAAGAAGGAAGGTGAAAAGGGTCAAAAGGAAGGATCTGGGATGATGCCAGACTTCTTAATTGACTCCGAGACTGTGCATAACATCTTCATGGAAATTTAACACTCATACTTAGACACTGACTTATTTCATATTGTGAAAACCATTTTAATATTATTATTATTGCTAGTGTCCGCATGTTGTGCCGGGTCACTTCACACTGTTGTTTTCACTTTGAACTTCTCGTGTGTTTGTAAATAATAGAGCAAATACATAGTATTTATAGTGACATATTAATATTGGGACATACACTAATAAATATACTACATATAACCACGTAGAGTTCCAGTAACACTGACAAAGAAAGCTCTAATGTTGATATTGCTATAGATACACAAATAATACAGATAATATTGACTTGTACATAGTAAAGAAATTGAGAATTTGCAATTTAAATCCCACAGCCTGTGTATAAAGAGAAGATAATCACAACATTGCTACAGGTCACTACACTCTAGAGATGTATCGGATGTGAAAATTTAGATATACGCAGATGCAAATGTGCATGAGGATGTCTTACTTATTTTGCGGATGCGGATGCGGATGCAGATGTAAGGAATTGTGCGGATGTTCCGTGGATGTTGATGCGGATGTAAGAAATTGTGCGGATGTTCTGATGATTCTGATGCGGGTGCATGTGCGAATATCTGTTTACAGTAAAATTCGGTTGCGGATGCGGATGTGAGAAATTGTGCGTATGTTCCGCGGATGCGGATGCAGATGCGGATGTCCGATACATCACTACAGTAAACTCTTCACTAACCTCTCCAGAGGAAGTTTCTTTTATCACGTCTATTTATATTTATTAACATATGAAATAAGGTACTAGTGCTGGGTGCTGCGAGGAGCCGCTGTAGTTTATCTCTTTTAGAAACCTTATGAACAGAAAGCAGAGTGATCACATAATGGTTAACAGACTGACTCTAAGAGCAGACCCAACCTTCTTTAAGGCAATGTTTAACTCAATAAGAGCTTTGTTAAGGCAAAGTTTCCTGAAAAAAACTTTCTATGTTCTGTCTCTGTTCTCATATTTAAAAACCCTTATTTGGTTTCAAGACGACGTATGGTAGGTTTAAATACAATGTATGGTAGGTTTCAAGACGATGTATAGTAGGTTTCAAGACGATGTATAGTAGGTTTCAAGAGGATGTATGGTAGGTTTCAAGAGGATGTATGGTAGGTTTCAAGACGATGTATGGTAGGTTTAAAGAGGATATATGGTAGGTTTCAAGAGGATGTATGGTAGGTTTCAAGACGATGTATGGTAGGTTTCAAGACGATGTATGGTAGGTTTCAAGAGGATGTATGGTAGGTTTCAAGAGGATGTATGGTAGGTTTAAAGAGGATATATGGTAGGTTTAAAGAGGATATATGGTAGGTTTCAAGAGGATGTATGGTAGGTTTCAAGAGGATGTATGGTAGGTTTCAAGACGATGTATGGTAGGTTTCAAGAGGATGTATGGTAGGTTTCAAGAGGATGTATGGTAGGTTTAAAGAGGATGTATGGTAGGTTTCAAGACGATGTATGGTAGGTTTAAAGAGGATATATGGTAGGTTTCAAGAGGATGTATGGTAGGTTTCAAGACGATGTATGGTAGGTTTCAAGACGATGTATGGTAGGTTTCAAGAGGATGTATGGTAGGTTTCAAGAGGATGTATGGTAGGTTTAAAGAGGATATATGGTAGGTTTAATAGAGGATATATGGTAGGTTTCAAGAGGATGTATGGTAGGTTTCAAGAGGATGTATGGTAGGTTTCAAGACGATGTATGGTAGGTTTCAAGAGGATGTATGGTAGGTTTCAAGAGGATGTATGGTAGGTTTAAAGAGGATGTATGGTAGGTTTCAAGACGATGTATGGTAGGTTTAAAGAGGATATATGGTAGGTTTCAAGAGGATGTATGGTAGGTTTCAAGACGATGTATGGTAGGTTTCAAGACAATGTATGGTAGGTTTCAAGACGATGTATGGTAGGTTTAAAGAGGTTATATGGTAGGTTTCAAGAGGATGTATGGTAGGTTTCAAGACAATGTATGGTAGGTTTCAAGACGATGTATGGTAGGTTTAAAGAGGATGTATAGTAGGTTTCAAGAGGATTTATGGTAGGTTTAAAGAGGATGTATGGTAGGTTTCAAGAGGATGTATGGTAGGTTTCAAGACGATGTATGGTAGGTTTCAAGACGATGTATGGTAGGTTTCAAGACGATGTATGGTAGGTTTCAAGAGGATGTATGGTAGGTTTCAAGAGGATTTATGGTAGGTTTAAAGAGAATGTATGGTAGGTTTCAAGAGGATGTATGGTAGGTTTCAAGAGGATGTATGGTAGGTTTCAAGAGGATGTATGGTAGGTTTCAAGAGGATGTATGTTAGGTTTCAAGAGGATGTATGATAGGTTTCAAGACGATGTATGGTAGGTTTCAAGAGGATGTATGGTAGGTTTCAAGAGGATGTATGGTAGGTTTTTCAAGAGGATGTATGGTAGGTTTCAAGAGGATGTATGGTAGGTTTCAAGAGGATGTATGGTAGGTTTTTCAAGAGGATGTATGGTAGGTTTCAAGAGGATGTATGGTAGGTTTCAAGAGGATGTATGGTAGGTTTCAAGAGGATGTATGGTAGGTTTTTCAAGAGGATGTATGGTAGGTTTTTCAAGAGGATGTATGGTAGGTTTTTCAAGAGGATGTATGGTAGGTTTTTCAGGAGGATGTATGGTAGGTTTTTCAAGAGGATGTATGGTAGGTTTTTCAAGAGGATGTATGGTAGGTTTTTTAAGAGGATGCATGGTAGGTTTCAAGAGGATGTATGGTAGGTTTCAAGAGGATGTATGGTAGGTTTCAAGAGGATGTATGGTAGGTTTCAAGAGGATGTATGGTAGGTTTCAAGAGGATGTATGGTAGGTTTCAAGAGGATGTATGGTAGGTTTCAAGAGGATGTAAGTTAGGTTTCAAGAGGATGTATGGTAGGTTTTTCAAGAGGATGTATGGTAGGTTTCAAGAGGATGTATGGTAGGTTTCAAGAGGATGTATGGTAGGTTTTTCAAGAGGATGTATGGTAGGTTTCAAGAGGATGTATGGTAGGTTTCAAGAGGATGTAAGTTAGGTTTCAAGAGGATGTATGGTAGGTTTTTCAAGAGGATGTATGGTAGGTTTCAAGAGGATGTATGGTAGGTTTCAAGAGGATGTATGGTAGGTTTTTCAAGAGGATGTATGGTAGTTTCAAGAGGATGTATGGTAGGTTTCAAGAGGATGTATGGTAGGTTTCAAGAGGATGTATGGTAGGTTTTTCAAGAGGATGTATGGTAGGTTTTTCAAGAGGATGTATGGTAGGTTTTTCAAGAGGATGTATGGTAGGTTTTTCAGGAGGATGTATGGTAGGTTTTTCAAGAGGATGTATGGTAGGTTTTTCAAGAGGATGTATGGTAGGTTTTTTAAGAGGATGCATGGTAGGTTTCAAGAGGATGTATGGTAGGTTTCAAGAGGATGTATGGTAGGTTTCAAGAGGATGTATGGTAGGTTTCAAGAGGATGTATGGTAGGTTTCAAGAGGATGTATGGTAGGTTTCAAGAGGATGTATGGTAGGTTTCAAGAGGATGTAAGTTAGGTTTCAAGAGGATGTATGGTAGGTTTTTCAATAGGATGTATGGTAGGTTTCAAGAGGATGTATGGTAGGTTTCAAGAGGATGTATGGTAGGTATCAAGAGGATGTATGGTAGGTTTCAAGAGGATGTAAGTTAGGTTTCAAGAGGATGTATGGTAGGTTTTTCAAGAGGATGTATGGCAGGTTTCAAGAGGATGTATGGTAGGTTTCAAGAGGATGTATGGTAGGTTTCAAGAGGATGTATGGTAGGTTTCAAGAGGATGTATGGTAGGTTTTTCAAGAGGATGTATGGTAGGTTTCAAGAGGATGTATGGTAGGTTTTTCAAGAGGATGTATGGTAGGTTTCAAGAGGATGTATGGTAGGTTGCAAGAGGATGTATGGTAGGTTTCAAGAGGATGTATGGTAGGTTTCAAGAGGATGTATGGTGGGTTTTTCAAGAGGATGTATGGTAGGTTTTTCAAGAGGATGTATGGTAGGTTTTTCAAGAGGATGTATGGTAGGTTTTTCAGGAGGATGTATGGTAGGTTTTTTAAGAGGATGTATGGTAGGTTTTTCAAGAGGATGTATGGTAGGTTTCAAGAGGATGTATGGTAGGTTTCAAGAGGATGTATGGCAGGTTTCAAGAGGATGTATGGTAGGTTTCAAGAGGATGTATGGAAGGTTTCAAGAGGATGTATGGAAGGTTTCAAGAGGATGTATGGTAGGTTTCAAGAGGATGTATGGCAGGTTTCAAGAGGATGTATGGTAGGTTTCAAGAGGATGTATGGTAGGTTTCAAGAGGATGTATGGTAGCGGTTTCAAGAGGATGTATGGCAGGTTTCAAGAGGGATGTATGGCAGGTTTCAAGAGGATGTAGTGGTCTAGGGTTTTCAAGAGGATGTATGGTAGGTTTCAAGAGGATGTATGGTAGGTTTCAAGAGGATGTAGGTAGGTTTTTCAAGAGGATGTATGGTAGGTTTCAAGAGGATGTATGGTAGGTTTTCAAGAGGATGTATAGTAGGTTTCAAGAGGATGTATGGTAGGTTTTTCAAGAGGATGTATGGTAGGTTTCAAGAGGATGTATGGTAGGTTTCAAGAGGATGTATGGTAGGTTTCAAGAGGATGTATGGTAGGTTTCAAGAGGATGTATGGTAGGTTTCAAGGGATGTATGGTTAGGGTTTTTCAAGAGGATGTATGGTAGGTTTTTCAAGAGGATGTATGGTAGGTTTCAAGAGGATGTATGGTAGGTTTCAAGAGGATGTATGGTAGGTTTCAAGAGGATGTATGAGTGGATGGTTTCAAGAGGATGTATGGCAGGTTTTCAAGAGGATGTATGGTAGGTTTCAAGAGGATGTATGGTAGGTTTTCAAGAGGATGTATGGCAGGTTTCAAGAGGATGTATGGCAGGTTTCAAGAGGATGTATGGTAGGTAGATTCAAGAGGATGTATGGTAGGTTTCAAGAGGATGTATGGTAGGTTTCAAGAGGATGTATGGTAGGTTTTTCAAGAGGATGTATGGTAGGTTTCAAGAGGATGTATGGTAGGTTTTTCAAGAGGATGTATGGTAGGTTTCAAGAGGATGTATGGTAGGTTTCAAGAGGATGTATGGTAGGTTTCAAGAGGATGTATGGTAGGTTTCAAGAGGATGTATGGTAGGTTTTCAAGAGGATGTATGGTAGATTTTCAAGAGGATGTATGGTAGGTTTTTCAGGAGGATGTATGGTAGGTTTTAAGAAGATGTATGGTAGGCTTTCAAGAGGATGTATGGTAGGTTTTCAAGAGGATGTATGGCAGGTTTCAAGGGGATGTATGGTAGGTTTCAAGAGGATGTATGGTAGGTTTCAAGAGGATTGTATGGTAGGTTTCAAGAGGATGTATGGCAGGTTTCAAGAGGATGTATGGAGGTTTCAAGGAGGATGTTAGGTAGGTGTTCAAGAGGATGTATGGTAGGTTTCAAGAGGATGTATGGTAGGTTTCAAGAGGATGTATGGTAGGTTTTCAAGAGGATGTATGGTAGGTTTCAAGAGGATTATGGTAGGTTTTCAAGAGGATGTATGGTAGGTTTCAAGAGGATGTATGGTAGGTTTCAAGAGGATGTATGGTAGGTTTCAAGAGGATGTATGGTAGGTTTTAAGAGGATGTATGGTAGGTTTCAAGAGGATGTATGGTAGGTTTTCAAGAGGATGTATGGTAGGTTTCAAGAGGGAGACGTATGGTAGGTTTTTCAAGAGGATGTATGGTAGGTTTCAAGAAGATGTAATGGTAGGTTTTTCAAGAGGATGTATGGTAGGTTTCAAGAGGATGTATGGTAGGTTTCAAGAGGATGTATGGGTCAAGGTTTTTTCAAGAGGATGTATGGTAGGTTTCAAGAGGATGTATGGTAGGTTTCAAGAGGATGTATGGTAGGTTTCAAAAGGATGTATGGTAGGTTTCAAGAGGATGTATGGTAGGTTTCAAGAGGATGTATGGTAGGTTTTCAAGAGGATGTATGGTAGGTTTCAAGAGAGATGTATGGTAGGTTTTTCAAGAGGATGTATGGAAGGTTTCAAGAGGATGTATGGTAGGTTTCAAGAGGATGTATGGTAGGTTTTTCAAGAGGATGTATGGTAGGTTTCAAGAGAGTATGTATGGTAGGTTTCAAGATGATGTATGGTAGGTTTCAAGAGGATGTATGGTAGGTTTTTCAAGAGGATGTATGGTAGGTTTCAAGAGGATGTATGGTAGGTTTCAAGAGGATGTATGGTAGGTTTCAAGAGGATGTATGGTAGGTTTCAAGAGGATGTATGGTAGGTTTTTCAAGAGGATGTATGGTAGGTTTCAAGAAGGATGTATGGTAGGTTTTCAAGAGGATGTATGGTAGGTTTCAAGAGGATGTATGGTAGGTTTCAAGAGGATGTATGGTAGGTTTCAAGAGGATGTATGGCAGGTTTCAAGAGATGTATGGTAGGTTTCAAGAGGATGTATGGTAGGTTTCAAGAGGATGTATGGTAGGTTTCAAGAGGATGTATGGTAGGTTTCAAGAGGATGTATGGTAGGTTTCAAGAGGATGTATGGCAGGTTTCAAGAGGATGTATTGGTAGGTTTCAAGAGGATGTAGGTAGGTTTCAAGAGGATGTATGGTAGGTTTCAAGAGGATGTATGGTAGGTTTCAAGAGGATGTATGGTACGTTTCAAGAGGATGTATGGTAGGTTTCAAGAGGATGTATGGCAGGTTTCAAGAGGATGTATGGTAGGTTTTCAAGAGGATGTATGGTAGGTTTCAAGAGGATGTATGGTAGGTTTCAAGAGGATGTATGGCAGGTTTCAAGAGGATGTATGGTAGGTTTCAAGAGGATGTATGGTAGGTAGCTTCATAATGTTTTAATATGGTAATTACAT